GGTAGGAGGGTGTGGGAGAAGGTCCTGCTTCTGCAACACCAAGAAAATGTAGCTAGAAAGGAAAGAAGTGATTTGGGACATTCGCCAAAGAGTCAACTATCTGAATCTAGTTGAATTTAGGGGTAGAACCCCTCCATCCTCGCCCTCAGTCACTGCTATCAAACCAAAATACCAACTTCGCAACGAACCCTAACGCATCATTACTTCACCTCTAACCCCTTTCACACAGGAAACAAAACAAAAACCATTCCATGTGCCACAGTAACTGGCATGAGATTTTCAGGATCAATTCCTGATGCTACCATTGCCGAAAATTCTTCTAATACACCTTATTCTTCAGACCTGAACCCAGGTCCTTGCTTAGCCAATGGTGTCAATGCCAATGGATAGTCAAGTGAATCAAACGATGTAATAATGAATATCAAAAAGCAATTCTCAGGTTTGTAGTGGCCGTTCCTGCAAAAAGGTGACTGTCACGCACGGTTCCAATTCAAACCCATGCCGTGTGCTTGTGGCGCCAATAAACCAACCACAAGATTGTCAAGCATTATTTTCCTTTGCTTCTAATATTTCAGGTCCTAATTGCTGCTATTTTAGGAATAGCAAGTTCCGAAATCTCTTAATAGATTATTTTAAAAAATGGAACCCACTTTCGTTGACCCAGTGCCTGTATCTAACACACCCACATCCTAAAGCACACAGGAGGAGTCAGTCATGATAAAAACCCCAGCTCTATCGTTAGACATGTCCAAGCATTTTTCCATCTCGTGAACAGGCGTTCTTCATCTCTGTTTGGTCATTTCCTGAAATAAAAAGCACTGGTTGACCTATTAACTGCCGATGTCACTCGGTTCTATGGTGACATTTACCAGATGCTGTAAGCACCACACGGAGCGAGGCAGCCAGTGCCCAGAGGAGTGAGCTCAGGCCTTGTCCACCCTGTGGGTGGGACCACCCGCCTCACCCGGGCGCTTGTGAGAAACTCGGGATCTCAGGTCCCACCCGACCTGCTGGCTCAGAAACGAGATCCCCACGGTCCGCGGGCGCCTGGACCTTGAGGAGGTCTGCAGACCCACCGCTACGTTCGCCGGCTGGCAAATACCCGACGGACTGGACGTTGAGGAAAACAAACAGAATGGGGGCCCGGCCGACGTGGCGCATGGGTTGAGCGTCAACATAGGAACCAAGAGGTCAGGGTTCCATTCCCGGTCAGGGCACAGGCCCGGGTTGCAGGCTCGATCCCCAGTGTGGGGCGTGCAGGAGGCAGCCGATCCA